AACGTAACTAACGTAATAACGTAACTAGTAACTATATAATACTAATAATAATATATATATATATATATATATATATATTATTATTATTATAGTATAGTATAGTAGTAGTAGTAGAGAGAGAGAGAGAGAGAGAGAGAGAGAGAGAGAGAGAGAGAGAGTTGTTCTAGAACATACCACTTAATGGTGATCTTAGATTTTCCTATTCCAACAATTTATACTATGAAATTCCCTTATATTTTCAAAAATGACTTTTGACTATAACTGTATTTCAGGAAGGGTATATGTTCTTCCAAATAAATGTGTATGTATATATATGGTCAGATTGTCTAGGCGCATGGAAATGTACAATAGCATATGCAAACAACGTGCATATATTCAACAGTAAATCAATCTCAATAAAATATTATTCTATCTTTGCCAATTATGAGTCCATACGCTTCCCAATTTATATCACCATAGGATGAAACATAAAATGCCAAATCTAGAATATGAGAATGAAGATGAATGTTGATGCTTCCTGCCTTGAGTTTTATAATTTCATTTGCATCCCTCTCGCAACTCGATATGACTTTTCTATTCCTTGTCACATATCAAAAGAATAAAGATAATTGCTATGGTGTCATTCATGAGAAGGATATTTGGATTGATAAACCAATTTGTTAGACCTACCATGGACGAGATATGATTCCGAAATCTCATTCATTTAGCAAATATCACGCTCTCATCAATGAAACTTCAATGAACGCCCAAAATTTACTAATTTTCAGATCTCCAGGTGTCTAGAATTTCAGATTCAATCGAATATAGGTTCCTAGACTTCCTAGCACTTCTAGAGCGGTTATCAAAAATATTATTTGCAATTGCAAGACATAAGATGTTAGAAACATCCATCTTCTAGGGAACTTCCAATTCTAGTTCTCAAACATTCCCTTAGAGACTTGTAAGTGAAATCAAGCATCAGCCCAGATCGGATCAATGGTGATGAGCTAGGCATCAGCCATAAGGGACCTGGATGTGCCAAGGCTCAATAAGAAATAGGGTTTGTATTGCATTGGCGAATATATATGCGAACTGTCAGAGCAACAATGCGTCAAGAATGATGGGATCGGGGAGAGAGAAATGATGATTTCGAATGCCCTTATCTGTGGGTTAGCAAGCAAGGGAGGTTTCAGCAGGTTTGTCCTAGATAAAAACAGAAAGGGGTGATAACTATTTCAATTCTGAAGGCTGTCACACATGCGGGATTGTTGGAGGAAGGGAACAGTATTTTTTGGAGAAATATGAATGGGGGGTGTAAAGGGATAAAGGAGGGGGAGGAAACGTTTGGACAACTTGTGAGGGGAGGTTGTCAGAGGATGACTTGGGAAATTAAGAGAAAAGATGAAGGTGGGAGAGGATATGGGGGTGGAGTGGTAGGCCCTAAAGAGTAGACAAACCAAAGGGATGCAAAGTTGAGGTGATGAGAGAAGAATGGGAGTTGTTCTTGATGTCAAGGAAGAGAAGATGAACTTTAGAGAGCACGAGCGAGTATATTGAGAGAGAAAATTTGGGAGTTGAACCTAAGCTGAGTATTATGAGCACATGATTGACCTATTAGGTAGGCTGGGCTTTCGGATGAAGCTGAGCAATTAGTACAGAAAATACCATTAGAAGGGAATAGGTTACAAAGCTCCTTCAATGACAATATCCTCAGATATGTTTATAGTTTGAGAGATGCTTCAGACTCAAATTTGTATTTAAAAACAAGAATCATCATCATGATCTACGCCTTATTCCAACTATTTGGGTGCCATTCTGCTCTATCAAGGGCCATACCCTCAGTCAACCATAAGTCAACATATCTCATCTCACTACTTCTATCCATGTCCTTTTGGGCATTCTCCTTGCCCTTTCAAAGCCTTCCACTTGATCTAAGATACCCCTCCTCACCGGTGTTGGTCTATGTTGCGCATGGTCAGCACAACTAAGTCTATTTTTGCTCATCTTATCGCCTATTAGAGCCATCCCTAAGTTCCCTTTGATGTATTCATTCCAAATTCTATCATTTCTTATCTTGCCACTCATCCATCTCAACATCCTCAATTCAGCTACATTCATCTTATGAATAGTTGTTTTTTGACCACCAAACATTATGTCACATAAAACATGGCTGGCCTTACAACCAGCCTTTAGAACTTCCCCTTCAGTTTTATTGGTATGCAACGATCCTATAAAACTAAGGATGCATATCTCCAATTCCCCAACCCAACCCTTATTTAATGCACGATATCTTCATTAATCTCTTCATTCTCTAGAATATTGACCAAGGATATCGAAAATAATTTCTTTTAGATATTTCTTGGCCATCAATCTTAACTGCTTCCTCATTTCTACTCTTAATATTACTAACTTTGCGATCCATATACATTGTCTTAGTCTGACTAATTTTGAAACCTTTAAAATTCTAGAGCATCCCTCCAAAGTACTAACTTTGCATAAACACCACCTCTAGTCTCATCAATCAAAACTATGTCATTTGTGAACGATATACACCATGATACCTCATTCTGCAGATGCCTAGTTAACTCGTCTATAACCAAAACAACGAGATATGGGCTCAATGTTGACCCATGATGTAGATCTAATGTCATTGAACACTCACTTGTCTCTCCACTAGTTGTCCTCACATTAGTTAATACCCCCTCATACATATCTCTCACCATTTCAATATATCATCTGAAAACTCTTTTTTTTCCAACAACCACCAAATTAACTCTCTAATACAATATTATGTATTTTTTCTAAACCAATAATGACCATGTGGAGGTCTCTTCCCTTCTACCTAAACTTCTCAATCAGTTGCCTAAGTAGGAAAATATCCTCAATTGTAATTTAGTCTGACTTAGATTTTAGTAAAAAACTTCAGTGATTTTTTCATTTTAATTTCATTGAGTATTCCAACTCCGCCATTACCAGTCCAACGCCCAGATGAGAATGGAGGGTTTTGTTAGGTTGGCAACCACCTGGTAGAGGTGTTTGGTCGAAACCGAATGGTCACACTAATATTATTGGTTATTCTGATGCTGACTGAGCAGGTAGTCCAATTGAAAGGAAGTCCACAACCGGCTATTGTACATTGGTTGGAGGAAACTTAGTTACTTGGAAAAGCAAGAAATAAAATGTCGTCGCTCGATCCAGTGCAGAGACCGAATATAGAGCTATGGCTTCCACTACAAGTGAATTGATGTGGCTAAAATGGCTACTTCGAAATATGGGTTCCCAATGGTCAATCCAAAGGAGATGTTATGTGATAATCGAGAAGCTATGCATATAGCCTCCAATCCAATTTTTCATGAAAAACCATATAGCCTCCAATCCAATTTTTCATGAAAAACCAAGCATAAGTTTACTGTAACTTTGTGAGATAAAAGGTTCAGTAAAAAAATTATTAGTTTTTTTCAGTAAAAAAATTATTAGTTATCCTTATGTTCGAAGTGAAGACCAACTTACATATATGTTTACCAAAGCTATTGTAAAGATAAAGTTCTATCATATATTGTCCAAGTTGGGCTCTATTGATATATACGCACCAACTTGAGGGGGAGGGTTGATAGTTATAGAAAGCAAATATTGAGTTTTCTATCTTGTATATTACAAGATATTCAGTTTCCTATATTGAGTTTCCTATTTTGTGAGATTACAATTGTAATGGGATTTGTTTCCTAAGAAATAAGAGTTGTAACTCTATATACAGAGTAAATCCTATGAATGAAATACTAGTTTACCCTCCATGGATGTAGGAGGTACCATTGCCGAACCTATATGTTGTGTTGATCTATTTCTCTCTCTCCTCTATTTCTCTTATTGCAACCTCAACACTCTTTATTGTGAAAATTACCACTCTTTCGTGACGCAAACATAAACAAAATAAAAAAGAAGTAGTTTCAACAAGAAGCAAGAGCAAAGTAATTGGTAACCATCTTACTGGCAATTGCAGAGAAGGATGCTTTTCACCATATCTTCAAACAAGGTGGGGGATCGAAAAACCCGCCCAAAACCTGTCTCTTTGGCAACAGGATACATCTCATGAAACTTGTTCACCTTTAAATCATCTTCTTCTGAAATCCGAAGCATCCTAGCGACTTGAGCCTAGAAACCAACAAGAGAGAGAGAGAGGGGGAGAACCCGCATCAGTGGATGAGAGATGACTAGAGAGAGAGAGGACCCATATTAGAAAAACAGAAATAAAACCCATATGAGAGAGAGAGAGAGAGCGCCAAAGGAATATATGCAAAGGCTCAATAAAAAAACACCAAGAACAACATAAATGGTTCGAGAGATTACAATTACCAGAAGATATTGTTGGTCATGTTGATAGAGTTTGCTTGCCCCCAAAACAAGGATTTGCAGGGATTTTTGTGAGGAGAGAGAAAGTTGGGTTATGCGAACAGGGACAGAGGATCGATCAGTTAGGCGTAAGGGGCGTTGGAGAGTTTGGGAGGAGGAGAACCATAAGTTTGGGGCCATCATGAAGAAGCCATGGCTGCATACTGCCTTCTCTAGCTCAAAAGACTCATTCACAGGAAGGGTTAACACTGTTCTCTCTGCCCCCATTGCCATTGCAGGCAGCCCGTTATGGGGCGGCTTTCGTCTTGTTGGGCTTTTCAAATCAAAACCTTTTCGATTCTCCTACCATCTCTCTCTCTCCTGCGCCGTTTAGTATCCGCGCCCCCTCTGTCACTGCCTCTCTCTACGCAGTAGCCTCGAGCTCATTTTATTTGCTCTGCTAAAGTGTCCATCGCCATCAATCAAGGATAGATGGTGATGAGGTGGGAATAGACCCATTCTTGGATAAGTAATATTTAAGGGATGGAAAAAGTTTATATAAGGATGGTACCTTATAGTGTACAACTACGGAGGCCCCTAAAAAATCCATGGGAAAAAGGTAGTTTTATTGTTGAGAAACCCTTTGATTGATCATCTCAACATCAAGATACATAACTATGAAAAATAAAAAAATTTTAAGTCTTAAAAATATTGTATTTTACAACATATTATCTACACAGGTTATTTTCAAGATTTTCATATGTTTATAGATCTACTTGATTTTAACCACTTTTGAAATTTAAAATTTTATAATTAGATATAAAAATAGATTTTGAGATAATCTTAAAAACATTTTATATCAAAATTATATACCATGATAAAATTTGAATGTTGCACCTTACCTCTACACCTACAGATGCATCCGTATGCCAACTGCACCCTTAAGGGATTGTATACAAAGAGACCTTTTACTTTGGATGTGGTTTGTATAAAGCCTAGGCTCTAAACAATCAAATTAGAGCCTACCATCAAATAGTGTCGAAAAATGTGGTTTTAATATTGGAAATCTTTATAATAGCCTTAAAATATATTTTTATATTTATTTATAAAGTTTGAAGCTTCAAAAATAGTATAGATCGGTGATTTATAAAAACTTGAAAATCTTGAAGATTGATGGTCCAAATATGTATTACAAAATACACTATTTTCAAAACTTGAAATATATTTTTTTCTCATGTCTATGCATCTTGATGTTGAGATGATCGATTTGAAGATATTTGGGCATCAAAACAACCTCTTTTAGTGAAATTTTTTAGATAGGCTCAAATTTAATTGTTTAAAGCCCGGGATGGCTTCCCTTTGTCCTTTTTTCATAGATTTTGGGCCTTGGTTAAATCAGAGCTCATCAAGATGGTTAGAGAATTTATGGTTAGAGGCGAGGTCTTCAAAGGGATTAATTCCACCCTTATTGCTCTTATCCTCAAAAAGTTAGTAATTGCTGAATTGTTTGACATTAGACCTATTAGTCTATTGTCTAGCCTTTACAAGATAGTGGCTAAAGTTCTAGTTGACAAATTGAAGATTGTTCTCCCTGATCTTATCTCTCCAAACCAATGGTTTAAAAAACGGATCGGTGACCTGATCGGGCTTCCAAAAAATCGATCCGGATCGGCGAATCGGCGATCCGAATCGGGAATCGGGTGAATCTGTCAGAATAAGCTTAAAAAAAATCCGAAAAATTTATTAAAATTCATTATAAATATTGTTTTTTAAGAATTCAATAAGAAATGAGGGTACTCCATTAAGAATTTTCATGTTTTTGAATGAATATGCGAATATTGATATGTTCTTTCCCTGCATGAACCGCCATTCAGCATTTAATTTATATCACACAAAAGGATAAACATATAATTATCATGGAATAAGTATATCAACATACATGGACTACAATAAAGCATAAAATTAGTAACATATGATCTAAAAATAAAATGATAGACGACGTTATTGTTCTTCTTGGTCACGCTGGTGCCATTGATTGAATTCATTTAACAATTCATTGATTCAATCTAAAAACGAATCATCGATATTAGCAGGCGTCTGACTATTCCCAAATCCCTGAGTGTTAGTGTTTTGTTGTGTTCCCAATCTAAAATCCCCGAAGATTGTCCATCCTTCATGCTTACCTGCACTGTCGTGCTCATCCCTACACTGTTGCTGTTGGGACTCGATATGTGAATAATATGGCCGGGATAGGGTGGCCTCTGAATCATCATCTCTCTCATTTTCTCTTTGAATAATATGGAATTAAAAAAAAAAAAACCAAATTTTCAAAAAAATCGATCATGGATTAAAAAAAAAATCACAAATTTTCAAAAAATTCTATCATGGATTACAAAAAAAATTCGATCATGGATTAAAAAAAAAAATCATTAATTTTCAAAAAATTCTATCATGGATTACAAAAAAAATTCGATCATGGATTAAAAAAAAAAATCACAAATTTTCAAAAAATTCAATCATGGATTACCAAAAATTCGATCATGGATTACTTAAAATTCGATCATGGATTACATAAAATTCGATCATGGATTACAAAAAAAACAAAAAATTCGATCATGGATTACAAAAAAAAAAAACAAATTCGATCATGGATTACAAAAAAATCGATCAAGTATTACAAAAAAATCTATTATGGATTACAAAAAAAAAAAAAAAAAATTCCGTACGGGACTCACCGATTCACTGTACGGACTCACCGATTCCGTACAGTGAATCGGCGAGTCACTGTACAGAATCGTCCGGTTCTCTCTAGAACCGGACGATTTCCGTTTTTTTCGTCGATTCGATCCGTCCATGGCGATTCCCGAGTCGAACCGGGCGAGTCCGGTTCGACTCGGCGTTTTTTTAAACACTGCTCCAAACCAATCCGCCTTTATCCAGAATCGTCGGATCACTGATAGTATTTTGGTGGCATGAGAGTGTATCCATTCTAGATTGAAGAGCCACCTTCTTGGTGTTATTTTAAAACTAGATTTGGAAAAAGCCTATGATCGAGTGGAATGGGGAGTGTTATTGGAGATTCTTAAAACTATGGGCTTTGGGGAAAAATGGAGGAGCTGGATTTATGGTTGCTGTCCTCTGCCCACTTTGGTAGCCCTTCTGGCTTTTCCAAGGCTACTAGGGGGTTCCACCAAGGAGACCCACTCTCCCATTTTCTCTTCTCAATCTATGCGGAATGTTTTAGCCTCATGCTCCAGAGGGTGGAAGTGTGCGAAAGGTTCTCTGGCTTTTTGGTTTCAGAGCATGGCCCTAGAATCTCCCATTTACAGTACGGAGATGACACTCTTATTTTATGTGAAGCTTCAAAGGTTCAAATTTCTAATATTAGGTGTTTCTGGATTGTTGTGAAGCTGCCCTGGGCCTTAAGGTTAACTATCAGAAGACTACACTGATTGGCATTAATTGTCACCCTGATTTGAGCCTTTCCTTGGCTCAATGTTTGGGTTGTACAGTTGGGTCGTTTCCGTTTACCTGTTTGGGCATGCCTATTTCTAATTCTAAGCCTTCTGTTTCGATATAGGATAAAGTGGTGGAAAGGGTCCAGGTTAAGTTGGATCTGTGGAAGTCGAAATTCTTATCGTTGGGAGGGAGGATTACTCTGCTGAAGTCATGTTTAGCGAACTTGCCAATATACCTTATGTCGCTTATGCGCATGCCAGCCTCGGTTATTAAGAAAATTGAAAGGCCAATTTGCAATTTTTTGTGGGGGTCCTTTGGTGAAGAGCGGAAATTTCATCTGCTCAGATGGGATTGGGTTTGCACCCTTAGGAGTGAAGGGGGTTTGGGCATTTGTAAGTTAAAATTTATGAATGAAGCTCTGCTCTGTAAATGATGGTGGCACAACTTTCAATGTTTCGACCAATTGTGGGTGGAGGTTTTATTTTCGAACTATAGCAAAGATAGGCAGGGGATGTGGTTAGGTGGTGGACGCCTTAATGTAGCGTCTTCTTTGTGGAAGCCCATTTTTCAGATGTAGACCGATGATTGCTAGTTGTTTTCATTGGCTTGTTGATAGTGGTACCTCGATTGCTTTTGACATCATAAGTGGTTGGGCGATGCTCCCTTGCAAATTAGCTTTCCTGACCTCTTTGCCAAGGTTCTTCATCCTGATGCCTTGATTTCTGAAGTATTGGAGGTAAGAGGATCCCAGGTGTTTGGCATATCTCTTTCCTGTATGATAGGCTTAATGGAATTATTTATCGAGGGTGGTTAGAATTGTTGAAGTGGTTGGAGTTTGTCTATATATCCCAGAGCTCTCAGGATGAGCTCATCTGGGAATTTGAGAACGATGGTATTTTTTCGGTCAAGTCTTGCTATAGACTTTTCTTCCATGACATATGGAGATGGTCTCTTGCCCAAGTGTTTAAAGTATGGAAATGGTCTATTCCCCATAAAATGCAAGCCTTCCTTTGGTTGGCCGCACTCAACAAAACATTAACAGTGGATAATCTGATTAAGCGAGGGAAAGTGTTACCAAATGTATGCCTCATGTGCAAATCTGATGAGGAATCTGGTCACCATCTGTTCATTCATTGTAGAGTTGCATCCAATTTTTAGTACTGGTTCCTCAGACTCCTTGGGGCTAGTGCTCCTCTTCCGTCTTCAATGGTCAACATTGTAGCTCAGTTTGATTTCGACCATCTTCCTTCTGATGGAGTTCTGGTTTGGAAATTGCCAAAGGTGCAATGGCGTGGGAGAACTGGAAGGAAAGGAATAGGTGTACTTTTGATGGCAAACGTATGATCTGGCAGTGGTTCTCAGTCGCTATGGGGGGTTGGGGTGTATCCCAAGCAGATGTTATGCTCAATTTGCAGAACTTATTCCTATTGGGGAAAGTGAAGATGAGACCCAAATGCTTATGGTCTCCTTTGGAACTTTGTCGATTTAAGTTGAATTCTACGGCAGCTCGTTAGATAACCCTGGGCCAACTGGTATTGGCGGTGTTTTACGCAATGAGCAGGGAGTGGTCATTTTCTCCTTTGCTGATCTATTAGGCTCTACCAATGAGCAAGGAGTGGTCATTTTCTCCTTTGCTGGTCTATTAGGCTCTACCATAGCTAACCATGCGGAACTTGCCTCCTTGCTGCAAGGGATAAAACTGTTTATCTCTAGCAATATTGGCAATAGCTGCATCTTTGAAGGAGATTCTTTAAATGCTATTGGTTGGTACAACAAGGAGTTACGCATCCCGTGGAAATTGTGGTCAATCTGGCTGAAAATTTTAGATCTCTCTGTCCCCCTGTATGTTTCTTTCTCTCATGTTTTTTAGGAAGCAAATGCTCTTGCGGATTCCCTCACTAAAGGTGGGGCGTCTTTGCCTTCCCTTGTGGTCTCTAACGATGTAATTTCTTTTGTTTAGTATGATCTAATAAAATTTGGAATGTTTGTCAGAAAAAAAAAAGCCTCAGCCCTATATAAAATTTTCCCTTTACTTTTGGTATAGGGAGGTCACAATTACTTACAACTATATGATGTGAAATCTGATAGCTTGGGTTTGTCATAAAGTTGCTAATTTTTTTTTTTTGAACTTTGAGTTTGGTCAATGAAATAAATGCAGCCACCGAGTTTCACATCAAATGGTGAAGATTAATTGTGCCCACCTTCTACTAAAAGTAAATGGTCTCATTATATACTTTCTCAATATTTAAAGGGCAAGCATTTATACGCTTCCCTATATAAAACTTGTATATGCCCTATCCAACTGTCCATTTTGAATGAACGGTCGAGATGACCCAATCATAATGTCACGTCTCAGCACTATTTTACTTTTTACATTTTTTTAAAAAAAATTTGATATACATCCACTCCTCTCTTAAAATTGCACCTGTAAAAAATATAAAAAAAAAAACTCAATAAAATAAAATAACCAAAATACCCTTAAAAGTTTCAAAGGGTATTTTGGTTATTATAATTTATCAAAAAAATATTTTCATATAATTTGCATAAAATAAAATAAAAATCGAATATTTTGAGGTATCGAATATAGATCCAATGGTCAGTGGCTCACTTGATTTAAATTAAGCGGCTGGATGGGGGAAGCATATATCTTCTATGCAGTAGGGGAAGTATAAAAACCATTCCCATATTTAAAATCCTCCTTTTAAATGTCCATCTTATGTTCATTCCTCCGTCTTTTTTTTTTTTTTTCCCTTTTTGTTCCTCTAATTGTTTTCTTTCAAAGCTTGAATACTGTCAACAATTTCAGACCTTCCAGGCCAAAATCATGCTAATGAGAAAAACTTCTTGGATGAGATGCAAAGTTGAGGTTTGGGACAACTTTGTACTTTGAATGCTCAGAAGATGACAACTTCATCTCTAAAGTTGTCCAAAACCTCAGCTTGAAGTTGTCTTAAACTCAACTCTAGACGTGAAAGTCCAAAATAAAGGCAATTTACAAAAAAAAAAAAAAGAAGAAGTAAAAGGCAAATAAAAGATATGAACATAATAACAAAATTTTGGGATAGAATTTTAAATCGGAGAGAAATATGTATAAATTTCTCTATAAAAACAATTCTCGACAATGCATAATAATGGTGTTTATCTTTGGTTCTAAGAGGTTACAATCATTGTTGGCCATTAGATATGACATCAGGCCGCTAGTTATGTGCTTGAATGTATTGACAGTTATGCATGCACTCAAGAGTCCAGAAATTTTGTTCAAACTTTGTATAGAAAACACAAACCGAACCGCCTGAATTTACACAAGATAGCCTGAATTTACAGAAGACAACCAGAAGTGATTTTGGTTTTTTTTTATACAGAAAAGAGATCGTCTCATGATATACAATCCCTAGTAGAAAATATGGCATACATACTAATTAAGAAGTGAATGGACACTTATATTTCCTTGAATTTCGTTTGCACAATAATTTTTTTTGAAAATGCATCTTAAAAAATAGTTTTCTTCTCTCAAACACAATGGACTTACACTATCCATACTCGGGCCATCAATTCGATGGGTTGGTTAAGGGTTAACTTTTGTGGATGGTCTTATTATCATTATGTGAACGATCTAAAATAAATAAATATTTTTTTTTAGTTGTTAAAGCCCTTTAATCTAAATACCCACCAGACTGATGACAAGCATTTATTGTTAGAACCATACCCATTTGGACCTTTCCTTGGGGTGGAAATTCAATTTTGGTGGCGTTTGATAGCTTTCTCGACAATTTCCCTGAAAAAATCCTTGCAGCTAAATTTCCTGGACTCTAGGAAGAAGGCGAAAATTGCTAGTTTGAAAGTTGTGAACCCTTTTTGATAATATGTAGTGCTGGTATTTTCACTTGTTTGGAAATGGAAAAGTTGAAAACTGCCTATCTTAACCTTTCATTGTGTATTACTTTGACCTATACGCGAAATACATATTTTGAATAAGATTTTCTTGCTGCAATCTATCTAATGCAAGTCTTATAAAATATCAGTACGACATATATTAAATGTATGAACATAAACCACATAAAAATTCAAAGCATGAGCATGCTAGCTTTCATGTGAACTGGCTTGAGTTTCAATGTTTTCTTTACAAATTTTAATATTTCCAATTTTCATTGCTTCATAGATTCCAATCTACAAATGGTATTACGACATTGCCTGATTAAAATCATTATTGTCGTAAATGGGCAAAAAAAAGCCACCTAAGTTTATAGTCCAAGCTAAACTGAAAGGCATTTGTTGTTTCAACCTCATGTTTTTTGTCCAAATCCAGCTTATCTAATTAAAAAGAACATGAAATAACAGACTAAGTTCCTTCCATCCAATATGACATCAAAGTATATAAATAAATTTAAAGAATATATTATTGTGCTTGGAGACTAACATTGACATCATTAATAAACAAAAATCCTTTTCTAACTATCAAAATTTCACTCCGAGATTTACAAAGAACAAAACTAACATACAACGATCACTGAGATTCAATCTACGTTGTCTAATATATTATCTTTCACCGGCTATTTATGCAAAGAAAGAGCTTATGTTAGCCACTGTGCTAACGACGTAAAGTACACCCCTTGATAAAATGATGTTAAGGGTATTTGTTTGACCCCATGAACATGTCCATGAAAAATTCTGAAACACACGTAAAAAATGGTTTTCTAGAGAGAATATTGGACTAATGTCGCTGTATGTTTTAGTGCCCTGTTATATCAAGGGTTATGCACTCAAATCACTTCTTTTTGTTGGTATTAATCATCTGAGTATATTTAATATGAGAGAATGTGTCAAACTAAATAGATGGGTAAGAGAGCTTTGACATTACTTAAGAGGGCTCCTCCCTCCTCTGTTGCTAACTTCTCCTAAGTTCCATGAAAAGATGCATCCATATCTGATTTTTAGGTCTCTTTCTCAAAGATCTTCGGCATCACCCCAACCCCAAACCCAACCCCAACCCCAACCCCAACCTCAACCCCAGCACTGCATACCCTTCTATCAAGCCTAGTTAAGGTCGATGGATGGTGGAGATGATGCGTCACATGCAACTTGTATGCGAGGCCCGACGATGTAGAATACAGTTCCATAACAATGATCCTTGACCTTAACTTCTGCTGAACTCCCCACCCAAAACTGATTAACATATTGGTTTTGTCTCCCTTCCACTGCCAATTTAAATATCCATAGAGGACCATCCCCACTCCTATATGTAAAGGCAATAGTCTTATGCCATTGAAGTTTCATTTCTCATTCTATCACATGGTGCTTGAATATGATCCCTCAGACTCTCAAAATCATTCACATAGTATCACTCCACAACTGGTCTGATATTCTTTGCATGTAACAATCCTCACAAAACATATAAAAGATATAGGAAAATTATTTCTATATTTCCACATGTGTCCAAAAACAGGAAGAACGAACTATAATACCATTGATGTCTCATCAAATCTAAAAGAAACTTTTTGCAGGGTAAAATGACGAAGGGACAGTGAAATTTAATTCTTCTGGGTCAATGTATTGAACACAATTATGTACCGTCAAACAATGTTTAGCCAGCCTATAAAGCTTAATGTTCTTCAACCATGTTTTATTTATTGGTGACAGGTTTTCATTCACTCATTAAAGAAAGCATACAAGACTCATTAAAGAAAGCATACAAGACTAGATAATGATTTTTCTTTATGTACAATAATAATCACCAACATATTATAATTTGTACTACTGTTCAGTAACATTTCTCAAAAAAAAATTTGTACTACTGTTCCGCAATTGCAGCTTCCCAATAGTATATTGAGTATATACCCATTCGAAAAAATGGAATATTGAATATTCATAAGAAATTTGAGTACTAGATCCAACACTGCCTTAGCATATCCTAGGACAATTTGAGCGTCTTCATCTAGTTTACTCAAACATTCAATTTGAGTAAAAATACAGGCCTGGCATCTATAGGCAGCAGATGTTCAACTAGAAATGATTCTCAGAGAATGGTTACTAGTAGCCTTTAACACCTGATAACATAAGCAAAAGATTTCAAGCTCGTATGCATACTAGTTGAAATAATAAGAAAAATTAACACATTTAATCATAGTGTGACTTTGTTGATATAAGAATACTCGCCTTATTGGTGAAAACAAAGAATTCCATATTCCCATTTTTTTTTCCAGTAACTGCACAAGGATGAGAATGATCGTGATTCCATTAAAGTAAGGAATGCCCCTTCCTCATACATTTGGGACCAATAGACACGCCAACAAAAGAATGAAATGTCACAATCCATCAAAAGAAGGAAATTCATTTTATCAGACAAGGAAAAAATTCATTTCCTCAAAGTTTTTCAAAGAACTAGAAGCAATGAAACAATTGGGCATCCACTTCATATTCAGAATAAAGTTATATGTAGCAGTGAGCACAACTTTAATGGAAAAGAAGCTTTGCCTTTTTCAGGGACCATGGCCAATCCTGTTCATCTTTCACTTGGAAAAACTAGTCAGTCATTGGGTATTGACCAGGAAACAATTGTCTATTGAGATTTCTCACTACAATGCTATACACAATAAAAATACATTAACTTGAAATGATACAAACTGATGTTTCCAATCCCAAATGCAGATCTGGGAATGATCCAGTTACCAAGTATATTGTCTGCTGCTCTCAAGTATCAAAATACCAATACCTATTTAAATTGAAACAAGTTTTCCACAAACAAACAAAAAATAAAAAATAGCAAAATAGAAAAAGAAAAGAAATATTTAAGTAGCTTCAGACTATAATGAGTCTAGAAATTTCTGCTGGATCAAAACATTAAAAAAAGACTCCTTATTGAGTCGGCTTTAATAGGAAATATTTATTAATGAAGTATCAAAATCAGTTACCAAGTATGGTTTCTCCTTCACCCATACAGGCTTCCAGTTATTACAAATCTGAAACAAGCTTTGTCAGAAAATGAAAACTTTGAAACATACTGAATTATGACACAGGGTCTTGAATTTTGCTGGATCAAAAACCGCAAAAGCTTACTCCATTTAACATGGAACTCAAAAGGAAATACACTAGAATGAGCTATTCTAGAACAATTTGCAGAACTGGGATACAAGAAGGCAAGACTTGCAACTGTAAGCTTGCAAATTGGTGCCTTCAAGATCTTGAAATCAGTACAACAATAAAAATGTGAAAAAAATAAAGAAAGAAAAAAAGTTCCTCTCAGTACAAAGTTGGCATTGTCTCGATAAAGCTGGGTGCTAAACTGGGTTCGATGCTCGAATAGAATTCCTGTGCTTTGAATTGGTGGTGAGAACCATGATTGGTCTCTGCATCCTAAATCCACCAAGAGATGGGTTCCTAACTAACTGAACAGTCCCATCTTCTTTATCTCTCTCATGAGAGCCCGACTGTGTCTTCGACCTACTCATGCTTCTCCCACTTCTCAATTTAAAACTTGCAAGATCTCCATTTGAACTATTGCCAATTTTCGTAAAGCCCATCCAATCCAGCGGTATGGATTCACCATCTGTCTCTGCCTCAACAATCAGGTCCATCAAATTCCTACTTCTACTACGTCTCACCACACCACTGCTCTCTGTACATAAACTCGAATCTTCATCGGAGGCCCTAGTATTACTCCACAAAGAACCTCTAGCCAAAAGCCCCCAATCCTTGGGTCTTTCTCCCTCTTTACCATCTGGAGTGATGGTCCTTCTACCCTGTGTAGGCTCTGCACCTACCACACCCTTTTCTCTCTCTACTTCTAAAGTCAAGCAAGAAACTCTCCCTGAAGTTCCGAAATCCATCGGTATTCCTCTCTCTTCACTAACTACTTCTCTTTGCCAACCATCAGGAACAATGGTCCTTCTCCCCTGTCTACGCTCTGCAACAACACCCCCTTCTCTCTCTACATCTACAGACGAGCAAGGATTAGCATTGGGCAACCCAATTCTCCTAATGTTGGTCCAAACAGGAAAAGGAATACTCTTGCTCACAAGCTTTAGCCCTTCGACCACTTCTCTCATCGATGGCCTTCTCTCTCTACAGGACCTCACACATCGAGCCGCGATCAAAGCAAACTGCTTCCTTGCCGAGAGATCAGGCAAGGGACCGATTCGAGGATCGTAGAGAGAGATTAGTTTACCCTTTCGAATGAGGGGAATCGCCCAATCGACAATCGAAGGTGGGCTATGGTTCACATCAATGGCATTTCTCCCGCTGATGATCTCTAAAAGAAGGATCCCAAAACTAAATACGTCATTTTTTGTGCTAAGATTTTCTGGGGTAAGATAACCAGGGTCCAAGTACCCAATCGTACCAGCTGGGGGTGTAGATTTTAACCTGATATCTTCGACATGGCCACGTAGAGCTAACCCAAAATCCCCAAGCCTCGCATTCCAGTTCGAATCAATCAAAACATTTGAAGATTTCACATCTCTGTGAATAACAGGTGGGTTTGATGAGTGTAAGGTCTCTAAGGCTTTAGCAGTTTGAAGAGCAAGCCTAACCCTCCGAGCCCAATTGGGGCTTCGAGCTCGCCTGTGGAGAACATCATGGAGGGTTCCATTACACATAAATTCAACAACTAATATCCTCTGGTTCGAATCATGGCTGAAACCTAAGAGGTTAACGAGACGTGGGTTTTGGATTTTTGAAAGGATTTCAATCTCATTCTCTAGGGCCGTATCATCATGAAGGGTTCGGAGACCAGAGGAAGCTCTTTTAATGGCGACAAGCTTACCTCCATGCAGAATTCCTTTGTAGACACAGCCATGGCTTCCTTTTCCAAGAAGAGTATCAGGGGAAAAGCCATTGGTGGCAATCTCAAGATCTTTGTAATGGAACTGTTGGATTTTGAGGGGCTTCTTCTTCTTCTTCTCCTTCTTGTAGGAATCGCAGGTCACCACAGAAGAGTCGGCTCTACATGAGAGGTAGCCCATTAAGAAGACCAGAGAGAGAGAGAGGATTTTCAGGCCCACCCACTTAGAGAGAGGGGAGGGGGGGTCTGGATTGAAGTTTTTGCAGTGCAACTAGAAAACTAGAGAAAGAAATGTTGTTTTATTTTATGAATCATCATCATGCTTAGCAGCTTTCAAAGATGATCATCATCTGAGTCCAAAGAATAAACTTTTACGATGGGGATTAATCAACCGAAGAAGTTTTTTCAGAAAAGCATAAAGCAAAAGCTGCACAGACTTGGGTTCCGATCCAATGCAAAAGGCTGGAGAGGAAGAGAGACACAATATGGTACTGTTTAGGACACAGTAAGAAATGGGTAAGTGTCCTATTCTTACCAGGAAGGACCAAATGATCCAAGGATAAGAGTTTTCAAAATATTTCATCATAAATGAGCCTTTTATATTTTTCAATTAACCTAAAAGCTCAATTTATATAAAACTTTGTCAGCTTTCCAGCAAACCTAACAAAAGAAGGAAAAAAAACCTCAAAAGAAAGAAAAAATTGCCTTGAACATTAAAAAAAAATTCTCTTTTTTTTTTTTGTGACAATAAAAACAGAAAATTTGTCTTGCAAAGAAAACCATCTTTATAATTCTTGCAAGACCATCAGATTTTATCTCTCTTGTATTATTTAATGATGCGGCACAAATGCCATGTGCTAGGGGTTGTAATTTTGTGAGCTGTATTCTTTTTTTTTTATTAATGAAAAAATTGGTAGGGTTTTTTTCCCCACTGACACCCAATAAAAAAGTCTTTACAATTATTGAATCTTAAATAAGTTCTAATAGAGACTTAATTTTGGTTAAAATTCCAAACTTCAAGTTCTCACCCCTCCAATCAGCCTCAAAAGTATTTTCATTTTCCTAATGGGTAGGTAAACTGAGTTCATCCATTCAAGCCTCAAAGTAAAAGATGGTAGTCTTTGTTGGTTTTATGCATAAACTTTTGAGTGTTTGATTTTACATCTATTGTTTAAGTAAATGGGGAAATGATGTAGTTAGACTGGTTATTGGGAGTTTGGTGCTCAAGTTCATCTAGATAACTATAGACATTCATGGAGGGATAGAAATGTTCTGGATTTTCAGATACGCGGTGTCGCCACGTTCTCGTCAAGGGGCCGAGAATTCGTTAATTAACGGTTCAGATCATTCGTGGCCATGAGTATTAACGGTTCAGATCGACTCGGATCTTCCAGTCAAGGGGCCTAGAATTCGTTAATTAATGGTCCAAATCATTTGTGTCCATGAGGATTGATGGTTCAGATCGACTCGGATCTTCTAGACCCAAATGGTTGTCATTGGATCCTTCCTCACTAGTCATCACAGGCAGCAAATATTTGGTTTAAGCCTGCGCCTGATCTAAAATTAATTGGGCATTCAATGTTTTTTCCCAAGAATAGTGATGCATTTGATGATGCGTTACTACGAATAGGATTTCAATTTAATTTTCTCTATATCTTGATTTGGTTGAGTTGCTTTTATTTGCAAGTTGTTTCCATCCATAGACCTCTCTCCTGCAGGGTTTGTGTCACATTGTTAAGCCCATGGTCTTTAAAATGCTGACTTGGATCAGAATATCCTAAGTCAAATAGGATTTTAATATATTGAAACAGTGGTTCTCACTAGAACCAATTGGTTCTTTGAACTTGTCAATGAGGCCCACTGTTTTTGTTTTTTTTAATTGTTTTTTAAGTTTATTCTTTTATTAGCCAATTCTCTCGGCAAGACTGCCAATCCACTAATCCAAACCGATTTTTTGAATATGCAATTCGTTCCACCTCTCCATTTCCTTAATCACTACGTAAGCCAAGTGCCTTGTTAATAGAAGTGTTGCAGTGTTTATATATATATATATATA